ACTGACATATATTATTACAAATGGACGGTAATAGATATCCTCATAAATGTTATTTAATGTTAAAAAGATTATCCGACCAACGTGTTATACCGTCGGTAAATTGGGCTTTTAATGTAAAAATGTTGCTATTTCGCTTTGAATTCGGTCATGTATGGCTGAACCAAGGTGTTGGGTCAAAAGTGTGTTTCTTACACAGTTCATACAAAGAATTAAAGATTGTGCGCCACAAGCCTAGCACGACAACACTGCTTCTTCCCCCAAACTCCGTTCCTATCACAATTTTAAGTCGTCACTTGATCAAATATTTGTCTTGCATCCATGTTTTCAAATTTAGTGCTGCGTTGTCAAGGTTACGTTGTTCTTCTCACAATTTGCGTATTGAAAAGGGAAGACATGAAAATGTCCGCCTCGATAATAGATTGTGTGAATACTGCGTTGAACGCAATCAACTTTCATATGGAGGACGAATATCATTTTATAGCTATTTGCCCTTACGTTATCAACGTATTAGAGCAGAATTGTTGCCTGTGTGGTTTTGGACTAACTCCACTTACAACAGATTTATCTCACTTATGTTCAAGAAATGTTACCAATTTAAACCAGTTAGCTAGTTTTGTTTATTTTGCCATGAAAAGCAGAACTTGAATGATTTTTAGTGTTACCATTGTTAAATGAAATTGTATTTGCTCTTTGGGCCAATGCATATGGACTTTTGCTTTGCAATAAACAAGCAAGGGTATAGGCATATACATGTATACGCTTAGAATATTCACCAATAGTTGAACCTAGACATCTGAAAGGGCTATGCAAACTATGAAATGAGACTCCTTCACAATGTGTGAAATCTTGTGATTTTCAACAATACGTGTCACCAGGTATTATACACAAGCTATACACAATTTGGAAGTATGCTGCAAGTAAAATAATTCTGTCACACACAAAAAATCCGATTAAGAATTCCATCGTTTTGTTTTCGGGTAATATTGTCAATTTCAATTTACCGGAGAATGGTCTTTTACAAACGATGCCGATTCCTGAAACGTCATTTGAAAAAGGCGATACAGGGCGTGATTTACTGAGTAGGCTCTGATTCGTTTACACTCTTAGGCCAAGTTCATTCTGAGCTCAAAGCCAGAATTTATTAAAACCAAACTTTGTTCAAAAGGTTGCGTAGAGATTGTTTTCGCATCTACTCAATCAAATATCTTAATTTTATGCGCTTAAAACATTTGCAAAGAAGAACTAAATGCTCTGAGGTCAAGGTTTCATGCTTTTTCTTACAAAAGGGCAGGTACATTTTTCGGTAGTATTATTTTACTTTTTTCATAAGATAAGATAATATAACTTTATTGACATTGTTCTTTCTATAGAAGTTGAACATAGTCAAGAAAAATAAAAAGTAAAGAGGATAATCATATGCCAAATCATGTGCGTAGGACCTCGCTTTAAACTTCAGCGTAAAATGTTTGGTAATATATGTTAAAAAATCATGTCTGGAAAAAAAATCCAATAAGTTCATGTTTGCATTTTCCCAGACAGTTTCCTTCCAAAAATATTACGTACGTGTATCCAAATCATTAATCATAAACAATGTAACATTTTTGAAACACAACTTATATTGTAATACATTTTTCGCCCATATTTAATAGATCGAATATCCGCGAACATTTTAGCCAGCCAAGATCCGTGTATTCGACCGACATTAGGGAGGTGTACGCAAAACCGCCTAATTCGACCGATGGCACGTAAATGACCCGAACATGATGGTTACGCCTAAATCTACCATGACTCGGCAAGTTCGACTCTGAGCTATTTAAACAACCTGGGGTTCTTATATGTTCTTTGTATTATATATATCGACATCAAATGTACTGCTGCTGTCATGACGGTCAAATCGCTACCAAATCCCCCAATACATTGCCAGAGTGGAAAGTTTCATTTTATTCAAATGTAACATACATGTACATAAACACGAAGCAACCGAAGAAAAACAAAACAATTAAAGTAACCGGCACACAAATAAGAAGTAAAACATTGAAGAATGCTGTGCTCCAGAATTTGGTGGGTTTTTAATTTAATATACTAGTAACACGTTTTTTTATTGTGGCCAGGACACGTTGTCATTATTTGACATTTTCTTTAAAAATGTTATTTATAGTATAAACAAATTTACATACTGTTGACTAATATGACGTAAAACACACGTAGAATACTAGTACTATAGAAGTATACTGGAATTAAAAATTGTTTTTGATACATGTGCTACATCTGATACATCTGTCAAAGGCACACGTGCAGTGTACAACACCAGGATCGGGTGAGTTAACATATTAATCATAGTTGCTCAACCATGGCTACCAGGAAGACACCGCCCTCGTCTCAACCAACCATTATCTGCCAATTGACACTTGGTAGACTGACTTACATTTCATATTTCAAGATGTTTTGTCAAAAATTCTTTAATTTCTTAATTTTTGTTATTTTCGTCAAAACAAGAATTGTAAGCAAATTTAAGAAATTGTGAAAACAAATCGAATTCAAAACTAGGAAAAACAAATCGTAAATTTAGTCCTTATTTTTTCTACTGTCTTCCCTCTAAGAGTTTCTACTGGTCGACATCTAAATATATACTTTATATTTATTTCTATTATTGAAACCTGTATTTTTGTTGACAAATTTTTGAAAATACGCTTTTATGGAATAAGGTCACTGACCTATACTTCGATTTTTCCAATGATAACTTCCCAACCACCCTTCACAGAAGCGCCCTCGTATGATCACCCCTGTAACTCACCTTAAGAAATCCGTCAAATTGTTCATGTGGCAGAGCCGAATCACACATTTTCTATTGGCCGATGTAGTCCAGACAAACAGCAAATTTGACGTAATCAACTGTTATGTTGACTATAAACAGATTAAGATTGTATATATTGACACACAACATCTTAGCGATCAATAATTGTTGTTTATTTGACATTATTTACCACACTAATGAATAATTTCAGATTGCGCATTGATATTTACCATTTCCGTCGGTGATTCGACCTTCCTTTCCGTGCCGGTGTCCGCCATTACTGCTATGTTGTAGATTACATAGAGCAATTACTGTGGCGGTGCACGACTGAGGTTATTCACCAAATCGCCTAGTATTATTTTAACTGAGGATATTTGAAGAACTAGCAGCGGCAATATGACGCAGATTCTTCCCATCCGATTCCAGGAGCATATACAGGTAGGTCGGAGTTGACCCTCAGTGGAAGAAACACGCCCTCCAACTTGGAGAGTCCGTCGGAACAGAGCAATATCATTGTAGTAATTATTATTATTGAAAGCAAAATATGAAATTGATCGTTATGAAATAAATAATATTTAAAGGAACACATAATGGCAAATCATCACTATTGATATTTACTGAGAATATTGCCGTTTTTTGTAGATTGTCATTCAAATAAAACCACATTTCGAAATGACTGTTATACCATGTGAAAGTGTGTGTGTGGAGTAAAATATTATTATCATAATTTATTTGATGTCGTACACTGAAATGATGTGGTCTTTATTTGATGATTGTGCTACGTCTAGTACGTTTTTGTAGCTTAGTTTTCTCGTCATTGTTGTTGATCGTTCTTAAGAAAAAAACTCGTGTCAACATACAGGAAATGAAAGCCTATCAACTGTAATTCATTTGCGGCAATAATTTGACAGTCTCGTCTTTTACTTGACATTGCCCTCTTGAAATTACACATACGTAGTGACAGTAAAAACTGTTCAGTTTTTGTTTTACATGGTCCATTTTCATACATTTGTGGGTGTACTGCACTAAAACTGGCGTGTCTGAGTTTGAGTGGGTGGGTGTGTATGTGTAATCACATGACCATGGCTGGTCTAAGCATGTACTGTTTGATCTCTTCCACAAAATGTGCCACAGCTGTAAATTAATTTATGTTAAATTTACTATGAATTTTTGTATATGAAACTGCTTTATGGAAATTGTAATTGTTTGAACCAATATTAAACATGTCCAGTGAAATTACAGATTTATTTAAAAAAAAAATCATTTAGACCTTACAAATTAATTATTGTAATACATATAAATTATTTTACAAAAGATGAAAGAATTGTCCCCACATAAGGATTACATACTACTAGTTGTAAATTAAATCAAATATTAATGTTAAAAGCAAATTATTGGGAGGGAAGATATTAAGGAGATCACTAATATTGTAATAGTGAGTAGTGCTATTGTCTATTCCCATTAAGTCATATAGCCTAGCATCTTATAAATAAAACATTGGCTGCTTTGATTCCCATGCACTGATTCTATAGGGGGCCTTTTTAAGGAAATGTATACATTCTGGTGTTGGGCAGAATTTATGTTTGCGTAGATTTTTATCAGAATTGTCAATAGACTGATTGTCTTGATAATGTATGATTTATGTGTTCTTTTTGTATATAAGTAATTCTATAAATAGTACTGCTATAGGCGATGAGTAATGTGACATTATGAATGTCTCCCATGTTATTTTCTGTTTTTTTTCATGGGTTGCCCAAGTCAGTGTACTTTGATTTTGAGGTGCCAATGAAAAAATAAATATAAATGAATGGAATGCTCTGGCAGTATTGTATTGATTTCTGAGTGGTTCTTTATTGATAGAATTAATCTGATTTACAGTTTCTATAAAAAAAATGTACAGTAGTTCAAGAAAGTAAGAAATTTAAATTCAGGTTAGATCACTATCACTACAAAAAAATTAATATCCAGTTCATAGCGACTTAAGTGAAAATTCAAAAATCCATTTTCTGACAAAGGTCAGGGTGATGTTGAATATTACTGCGATACTATTTGGAGGGGGGTCCACTTAATAAAAATATATACTATGCATTTCACATCTCCAATAAAAGCTGCATAAACCCCAAATTACCTTCATTGTATGCTGGATTATTATAATGATTTATTTTGACCATAAACACGGCATTTGTCATTTATAGAAAGATATATAAATTTGCTACTAAATAATAGAAAAAATATGGTATATAGACGCATTTGTAGTTGCTTAATTTTTAATTTAATTTGTTTAGTTTGTATTTTTAAAATTCATTGTTTGATATGAATTGATCTAGGAACTTCAAGTTATTTGCTTTTAGTTTTGTTCAAAGAAAGTGCCTACATTACACTTGCGTTAGTTTGTACGTACGTGGTAGAGTAGATAATTGTGTTTGAAATAAAACCATGTCACTACATGCGAAGTCACGGTTAATGGTTTTAACAAAATTAGCTATTATCTGGGATATAAGAAAATGGTACTTATTGGCTAAAGCAAAATGCTTGCTAGTCGGTATTCAAGTATGTCTGTCTTGTATTATTTACTAAGTCTTGCGTACCTTATATCATCCTGATTCTCGGCGATTAGAACTGACACAAAACATGAGTGGGGAAAGGTTAGTGGAAGATCACGCACATTGTCACTGAGCAGAAACGGTTGCAGCGATTTAATTTTCAGATAACTCTGAATGCAAAGCATGGCTCACCTTACTGTTATTTTATCTACACAGCTCCAGAATGTTGGAATCAACGCAGCCAACATTGGGTTTAGTACACTGACCATGGAATCGGATAAGTTCATTTGTATTAGAGAGAAAGTAGGTGACCAAGCGCAAGTCGTTATCATTGATCTGGCCGATGCACAGAACCCTATTAGAAGACCAATATCTGCAGATTCTGCTATCATGAACCCTGCTAGTAAAGTTATAGCACTCAAAGGTATGTATCTAGGCACTGGTTCCATTAACAACATTAGGCTAATGTCTCGTGGGATGGCACTCTGAGTGATGCAATTATCCAATATATCTAAGGGATAAGATTACAAGTAAAATAAATATCCAGTTACTAGCATAGTAGTTACAACATCAGGCTTGTGATAAAGTTTTAATTCTACTTGGTGTTGAACACCCCCCTCCCCCTCCCAAAAGAACAAATTTGAGTCCCTATTCCATGCGAGTGTGGCACAGACTCAATGGGAGCCCCAAAATACTGAATGTTATTCTTTCACTGACTACAAAAGACGTAGGTTAATTTGTTTAATTGAACCTGATTGATGCCATGATAAGGCACCAGTTTGCCATATTACCATTATAATGGCCCTGTCACATAAATTATGTTGTAAAATACATTTTTGTATAAAAAAGAGAAAGAGAATCAGGATTGATGACCTTCAATATTGGTAACCAATACAATTTAACAATTCAATATGATTATTCAATATGTCAAAAAATAAACCATTTCCACGTTTTCTAATTCGCCATTTTTTCATTCTAAAC